AGCATGTCATATATAGGGAAGATCATTATTGATATTTTGATAGAAGAAATTAGACAATATATTGTCACAATTTTCCATGAAGTAACTCCTATGTGGCTTAGCATTTACTGAAGAAATTATTTCAGTCTGTTTGGCCATAGCAGACTGAAGCCTTCTATACTCATACTCCAGGTAAGCATCACAAGCTCAAGTTTATTGATTTAGCCATTAGTGTAGCTCCTATCTATCCATTTCTAAGTAACTGCATATGGGGGAGCAGGACCTGGGGATGTTAGGTGTGGGTTATCAAGAGAAGAGTGAAAAAAGGCATAGCTTATTCACTTGAAAACAGAGTTGAAGCCATGAATTTTTAAAGAAATTTAGATATCTAATTCTATCTTCCAGACTTTAGTGGAGTTGCAAGAACATTTTCTGCATGTAAAGCAATATATTGGATGTAGTCCTGAATTGTCTTATGTTACAGAGCCAGGGGCAATAAGATACAATAGGAAATTCTCAATGTACTAATCTGCAAACAAAATGAACTTATCAAAATAAAGAAATAAATGAAATGGAAGCTTCAACCCTTTTAATCTTTTAATCAAAGGCTTAGTGGCGGAATGTTATAATGAAGACCCCACATTAACACAAATCTCCATTACTTGAATGCTAAATTAATTAGTGTTACCATGAAGTTTCATAAATTCCTTAAACTAGCCTTGTCAAAATAAATGAGCAAAGTATGTTCTGTGATACTCTAGAACTTTTTTCCTTTTTTTTCTTTCTTTCCTTGTTCTATTTTCTTCACATTTTGCCTGCTTTTGTGCTTGCTAGTTCACAGAACTGTTAGATCACATTGTAGACTTGTTTGAATGCCTGTCAGTCAGAGCCTTAGTAAGCTTGTTGGGGGTCTGAGTAGGCACTGAGTGTCCCAGTATCAGTGAAAATAAGTCATGTTCTATTGTTACAGCTAATTAGCCCGAAAGCATAGCAGAGCAGGTCCTGTCTTTGAGGGTGTGATTGTACAGCACTTAACACAATGGGGCATCCATTCTGATTGGATTATCTCCATTAGTAGCACAGTTCTCTAGTGAATGCAAGTATTGTAAATCTCTGCCATGTGCTCAGGGTAGGTTTGTTTTTTTTTTAATTACCTCCTTTTAGAAAGTTCTAATCTGTGCAAGACATTGGATAAATAAAGTATGTACTATAAAATCTGTCAGGTAGCTGTTACCAAGAGCTGTGACAATATTTTTAGATTATTTTATTAACATTCAAATGATAAGAACAGGAAAAAAAATATTTAAGTGACAATTTAATACATTTCTTTAGTGTGTGAACACTTTCATGCATATATATATGTATTCTATTTATGTATACTTATGTGAAAACTTTAGGTCAGACTGTAACCTACTAGTTCAAACAGATGACCACGTGGCTGGGAGCTCCATCAGAAATTACATTTTTTATAAAACTGACACATCAGACACCCCAAAGTGAGAAGGAGGAGAGTGGAAAATATTGCATGGCTCAAGGAGTGTGACAATGAATATCTGATATCACAGAAAATTCCTGTGACAGCCTTTTTTTAAGGTATTGTAATTCTAGTCCCCTCAACATGCGGTTCTGCCCAACAGCCATACTGTATTTTATTACAAGAGGCATAAGTGAAAAAGCTCAGCAGTGATAATTTCTGCACTATATTATGCTCAGTGCCCTTCAATTTTGATGGCATTCTCCTATAAGGTACATAGAAAACATAGAATTTGAATTTAATCTGCAAGAAGGCAGAATCAGACTTTTCTCCTAAATACTATAAGGGAAAAGAAAAGATTATGTATATTGCTAAAAAATAGTATCAGAAGATATTTTAGTGAAGAAAATTAGGTGTTTCATGTCTATGTGCATCATCTGCATTTCAGAAATGTACAGTACTCTCTTACTGACTTTATTCAGTATTGGAATTCCACTGGATAATTATGCACCGAGTGTGAGTACTGGGGAAAGGACAATATCTTTAAATTATAATGGCTCTGTTTTGTTTGATTGGATAAATTCCTATTAAAGTGTGCATGCGTGTGTAGGAGAGAAGCCATTGATATGTTTCTCAGCTCTTCATTAAGCCCTATTTAAAAGTGTCAGAAAAATATTATTGCCTTTTTTCTTTCGTAATCGGTCATACAGCAAATCCTGATGGCCAAAACATCACTGTGCTTCATTGTCAACAGCCTACTGATGTAAAAGGAAAATGTTCCCCCTTCTACAGAGTTAAATGCTGAACCATCTCACTGTCACTTTGACACCTTCATAGTGCATACACATAACCTCTCACCTGACTATGCACTTTAATAGCAGATTAAATCAAAGCCCTCTTTCATGGGGGCAGTAGGACTCTGCACTCACAGAGTGGTAGACTCAAAAGCAATTTTCTCTGTACCAGAAAATGAATTTGTGGGGAGTCCCTTCATTTGTCCAAGCCTTTGGAAAATAGAATTGCAGCAATACATTTCATGCTTTTTATTTGTGTGGCTCAGTGAAGGGACAGTTGCTTCCCAAAAGCACTGTTTCAATCTGTTTGCTTGGAGATTCAGCCCTGGATTGCTACCTGCCTGGAAATCTCATCCTAGACATTAAGAATACAAGATTTCTTTCTCGTTAAAGTTTGTGTTCTGCAGAAATTGATAAATATCCCTGAGAAGACTGGCATGTTGTAATGCTACATTTTGGCTCAGTTTGAACCCTTATAGCAAATAAATATGAAAAGTCATACCAGAAGTCTGCTTAAAATCCAGGGGCTCTGTTGTGAATCTTATGTAAGGTTCAGCACCGCTTGTTCTCACAGTTGACTGTGAAGTGGGTCTGGCTCCCAGCCAGGTCCCCCACACAATGATTAACTTAGAGACTGCACAGCACCATCTGGTACTGTCTCAGGTAGGAAAGATATAAATGACTGAGTAGTTACACTTTTCCCTCTGTAAGCAGAGTAATATTTGAGAGATGGCACCTTTATCTTATTCCCCAGCATAACTGCTGTGAAATATTTCATGTACAGATAAAACTTGCCCTTGGTACTAAACCTCCTCCCCAAAATTTTTCTGGAAGTCTTTGCTTCTTGCTTTGGTTTATGTACTATTTCTGTGTCCGTCTGTCTGTCTTCTCCCATTCCACCCTCCCTCCCTCTCATTTTGTCTCATCTTTTCATTCTTTCCTTCTTTTTTCACTTTTTCTTGAAGTTTTGCTCAATCTTCCCTGAATGTTTATCTTGAGTCCAGGAGCTTGATTATCAGCTAGAGACCTAAATCTGCCTTGTTTTCTGCCTTTTAGCTGGAGAAGTATTTCTGTGGGTGCATTTGCTAAGTCAGAAGGGGAAGTGAATAAATAGCTCAGAAAGAGTCATAACTCTTGGGGCTGACATAGTAGAAACACCCCCATTTCCTAACAGAAAATAGAAAAGAAATGTTTATCCAAGACAGCAATGTTAAAGAGGGAAAAACGTAAACAAAAAGAGTCATAAGTTCCCATCTTTTCCTTACCGCTCTTTTTGCCTTGGGTGGTCATATTTTTCAGTGGCTTAAGAATAGTAGGACATGGTACTTTGCTGTCCTGTTTTAGAACACAAAAGCTGACCCTCTCATCCTGCTCTGTGTTTCTGATAAATCTCTTCTATAATGGTCCTTTAAAATCAAAAAGTGTGAAATATGAGGGTCACAAAACGTGAAATAGCCAAGGACCTGAGATTTCCTAGATTCCACAGGCCTAGCTTCCTGTAATGCATCCTCTGAGGCTTAAGTGGTGGTCTGGCAACTACTTCTTCAGCCTTCAGTTGCTAAGAAGAATCTCCCTACAGAGGTGGAGCTGATTCAGCCTCTAAAATAGTTCTCATTGACTTTTTTCCCCCTGTGTCTGTGTGTTTCACAAACACAAAACCTGAAATATGAGCAAACTTATCAGGTTCACAGACCCTGAGCCTACAGTTCTAATCCTTCTTGAGAATCAAAACTCATGGAAATGAAAATATAATAATGAGGACACATAATATTATAATGAGAAAGTTGTGGCAGAAAACAATATCCTGAGAATGTGTTTAAGGCAAAAAATGCCTCAGATATAGCCTGAGAACTTGATACTATTAAATATTTATGAAGGATTGATTCTTTCTCTGCATTTTTGCCAAAAGTACCATATTTTTCATAATTATTCCTACACACCCTTTTTTAAAATATAATTTATTTATTTTAAAAACACTTGAATTTTAGAAAAAATAACAGTTCTGTGTAGGTTTATTCTGGGTGTTGTATATTAGTAACTGTTGGGCAGGTATATAGGACTCAATTCTGCTGTGTTTCCCACAATCAGCTGGTGAGATACTTTGACTTCTGCTCCTAGAGCTTCCTAAAGCCAGGAAGTGACTTTGAGAGATCTGTTTAACAATGAAGGGAGCTAAAGACACTTAAACCAGCAATATAACACATCAGATTAGTTGTGAAGCTGGAACCTGAACAAGCATCCCTAACAGACAGGGAGGAGCCCTATACCACAGCAGGGTAGTTGGAACAGTTCCTAGCTTCCTAACAGAAGCCTAAGTGTTCACATCAAGAAAACAGTTAAATTTTTATAATTATTTTGTAACAAGCTAAAATTCCTCAGAAAGGGATTGTAACACTGGATGGGCTTTGGAATCGTAGACCACAAAACAAGTATTATACCTGTACCTGGATGCTGACATCAAAAAATTGAGGAAATGTTTACAGAGGTGTAAGGGATTGTCACTATGTTTAATGGACTGGAATTAAGAACAGTCAGACATAGGCTGAAAAGCAACAAAAGCTTCCTTATATTGATATGTCTGATAATATAGAAGAGACTCCAAAGGGAAGTTGTAAAAGAATAATCAGTGCTAAAAGTCAGAATATAATGATGAATTCTTCATTGGCAGCAATATGAACTAGGCAGCCCAACAGGGTTTTTTTATCCATGGCTTCCATTATTCTATGGCAAAATTAGAAGGCAAATAAGCAGAATTGTTCAAGACAGTGTTATCTTTTATTGCCAGTAGGAGAATGCTTACCCAAGCTAATCATGCTGCAATATAACTTCAACATTTTATATTGGATATTATTATAGGTACATATCACTATAACATAGTGCTTTCATTTTGAGCCCATCATGGTGCTGTAACAGTTTTCTAGCAAAACACGTTAAATTTAAAGGGGAAAATGAGTGGGAAGTATAGTACTCAATTATCTCTACTGTGTCTTCGGTTTTAGGGATTTTATTGTTAGACTTGGCTTTTCTTACTAGTTCACAACAGCAGCTGGGATTTACTCTCTGTGTGTGTCATTTTAGTTTGAGGGTCTCCAGAGATTTTAAATGCAGTCCGCCTTCCCTATACTGTGGTATTTATTTTGCTTGCTTGCTTCTCTGTAGTTTTTAATTTCATTGAAATGAATTGCTGTTTAGATCAATGACTTGCAAATGTCAGTATACTAATGGGATACTGGGTATGAAAAAAAATTTCAGTTAGATTTCATGAGCTGTGGGGACACTCACTACCCACAAAATGTATCATTACTAAACCTCAAGCAACTCCATTTGGGGTGGTAAAATATAAAATTTAAAACCTTTGAACACAATAGCCAAAATTAGGTCCAGATTACACAGAAGGGGTAATGCTCCTTAAATAGTTCATCATGTTCCTAGGAGCAAATGGATGCCTTTATGGTGTCAAAGATATATTGTTATCTTGGCTGCTGCTTATTTTGAAAAATAAATTTATTTGAAGTGTCAGAAGTTATTTACATAAAATGGAGCTCCTTGTTCATCAAGGAATTCATCCACCACTCTGAATCCAGGTCTAACCAACAATTAGACATGCATTTCTGTAGAGATTAAAAATAATTTAGAGCCTAGATATGCCACTTAAAAATAATATAATACATGTATAAGGTTGGTCAAAATCCAAGGCTGACTGATTGAGGGGCAGAGCACTGAGGTGCTTAAAAATATGAGCTCAGAGTTGCAGTTGTTACTCTTCTTCCACATGCCCACATCTGCTTCAGATTTCTCAAGTAAGGAATAACCAAAGAAAAGCCTGTTCATTTCTCTGGGTCTCAGAGGATGTGATTTCCATCTGAGAAGAGTTTTAGTCTCTCAGCATTTCGTTAAGAAAGCTTACCATGAAAGCCCTGTCCTAAAGGATGCAATACATATGCCTAGATAAAATTAGACAAGATCTGATTTTGAATTTTTTCTTCTGATAAATTTCTTTCTTCTACAAAATTTCTGTCCCAATGTGCATGTCAGTTAGCCTTGGTAATCCTGAAGAAAAGGGCTAATCTGAAATTCAGGTCTATCCTACTGCCAATAGGAGTATTGGCATTTCATTTATTTAAAAACCAGGTTAAAGAGAGGTCCAGAAGGTGCATCTGTTTCTATGACACTCTTTTTCATTTGGCAATCACCAGTGAGTAATGTGAAGGTGACTGAAGGAGGCTGCATTTATCTGTAAATAAGCTAGGACCTCTTCTACTCATTCAGTGGGTAAATTCAATGGCCAGTCCATCTGAGTCCTCTGAGACACTATATGGATACACCAGTATTTCAAATGGAACGAACTAGGATTTTACAAAAACAGTTTGAATTATATAAAATATATACACAACTTCTATCACTGTTATATCTAGTACTTTTGGTTAAAAACTTCAACTGAAAAGTTAATAATGATGCCTTATTCTTGTAGATGTTCTGTTTTCTTCAACATAGAGGAATCAAAGTCATAGAATAGTTTCTATTGAAAGAGACTTTAAAGATTATCTAGTTCCAAGCCCCCCTGCCATGGGCAGAGACATTTTTCATTAGATTAGGTTGCTCAGAGCCCCATCCAATCTGGTCTGAAAAACTTCCAGGGTGGAGATGCAGAATCACCTCTCTTGACCTGCTGACCACACTTCTTTTTATGTAGCCCAGGATACCATTGTCTTTCTGGGATACAAATGCACATTACTGAGTCATGTCCAACCTCCTGCGCACCAGCATCTCCCCTACACCTCAACCTGGGCAGGGCTGTTCTTGATCTGTCCATTCCCCAGCCTGTGTTGATACTAGGGTTTGCCCTGACCCAGGTGCTGCACCTCATCTTTGGTCTTGTTGACCTTCATGAGATCCCCGTGGGCCCACTTCTTGAGCTTATCCCTCTGAATGGCATTCCATCCTTCTGATGTGTCGACCACGCTGCTCACCTTGGTTTCATCTGTAAATTTGCTAAGGCTGCACTCAGTTCCTTTAAAAATGCACTCATTTCTTCTGTCTATGTTATTAATGAAAATATTAAACAACAGTGGTCCCAATACAGGCCTCTGAGGGACACCACTTGTCATTGATGTCCATTGGGATGTCCATTGATGTCCATCTAAGCCATTGACCATTACCCTCTTGATGCAACCATTCAACCACTTTCTTATCCATCTAATAGTTCACTCATCACATCCATCTCTCACCACTGTAGAAAAAAGGATGTTGTGGGGGGCTGTGTCAAAGGCTTCACAGAAGAAGCAAAGTTGTATCAACGGTCTGAAATAGATGAGAACTATATAACTGAGGGTTAGTTCTTTTTTCATTTATTTCCACTGTCATTCTAATCCTACCTGGAATCTATTGTTACCAGGAGAAAAACTATGCTATCAGAACTATTGAGCTACATAATTCAACTGTGATTACTTATGGGCATAATGATCAGGAATGACTCAGCATTGATGAGTTTGCATCACCATTGTAACACCTGCTCTTCCTAAAGTCCAAGCACCTGCAGGTGTCTGAAACTTTGGTGGAACAAGGGAGAGTGTGAGTTTTTGGGGAGAGTTGTCAAAGCCTGACTTCATCTCCTTACTAAAATATCTGTCCAGATTGCTGTCAAAAATTTGAAGGAAAGGTGTGGAGGTAGTGCGAAAGAAAAGGTCATTACAGAAGTGTAATGGAACTGGTCCTGGACGCAAATTAGTGTGGGCAGAACTGAAGTTCTGAAGAACAGCAAGTTTAATAACATTATTTAGCCCTGAATACAGTTAGAAGGGCATCAATCCCGAAGAAAAAAAAAATATATATATATGTACGTATACATATAGCTCTTTGTCTCTGCACACACCTTTGTGGTTATGGCTGAACATTTACATCTACTCATCATCTATATATATATATGTATATATATATATACACACATACAAACCCAGCCTCCTGTGTGTACAGAGAATAGGCCTGACATCTAAACCAAACAGAAATATATGCACAACCTTAGCTAGTACTTGTGATAAGATATTAAGCCCAGCTGGACAGGAACAGAAGAGAAGGGCTGTGTAACTGTGATCCATTGTCCTGTATCGTCTCTGGAGTGATAGAAGAGCAGTGTATCCCAGCTTGTAAGAAAACTTACAATGCATAGAGAGTATTTGAAGAAAACATCAGCTAAGTTGTTCTTTTCAAATGTTATTACTTACAGAAAGTCACCAGTATGATAAGAATTTAAAATCCTATTAGGCAATTGAGATTTTTTTTCCTGTAATTTGACATGAAAGTCTTTTTGTTAGTGACTTTCATATTGTATTAGCTATAAAGAGAGAATGGAGAAGTAGGCTCTGGCTCTGAGCCAAGTCTGAGATGCAGTACTACCACAATAAATTCCAGGGTGAATGGCAGAAGCATGCAAATGAGCCAAGAGCTCAGATGAGCAGATGTGGCACACATGGGCTGATAGGAAAGTGTGGTGTTAACCTCCTACTTTTGTTATGACAAAATTGCTTAAAATCTGGGGGGCAGAACCGGTTTCAGGTTGGACAATGTCCATTCCATGTTATTAAGGATCATTCTTACACAAATCTTCTCTTTTTTCAATTCATAGGCATAATTCTATCTACCCACTCTAATTTGCTTCAGGCAGCTTACTGTCTAATATTTCTATTTTTTTAGAAACCTTAAATATTTAGCAGAATACTGTATCACAACACTGTAATCTCTCTTTGTGTGTGAGGAAAAAGAATAAAGTTTGTGCATTGTCTAAATTATGCTTGAGAATGATGTATCTTCTTTTTAATGAGTAAATAAAAAGACAGAATCAAAAGATTATGATTCCAGTTAGCAAACCTACCTAGAGAAGGACCTAACTCAAAAAAAAATCCATATCAAATGAAATTGAAAATTTCAGTGCAAATTACACATGAAGAAAAAAAAGAAATTATTAATATGCATATTTACACATCCAATGCTTAATGAAAACATCTGGTCCTGGGTGGGTGTGGGTGTGTCAGTTTTCTTGTTTTGTTTTTATATGTATGCATTGCAGCATTTATAAAGCTCATCTTCCTAGAGCCTACAACAGAAATTCACAATTTAAGTGGCATAATGAACAGATTTATGCAATTCAATTGTGGTGTCACTAAACCTTAACATAAAATTATACTGCTGAAAGAGAATAGACCTCAGAGGAGACAACAGCCAGCATCTATCTGGCAATCAAGGTACTGTACTGATCGTACCCTGAATGCATGATATAGGACAAGTACTGAAAAGCCATTTCTTCCGCTTTGTCTGCTTTCAAAAATGATGCATTTAAAACAGCATCATATAGTGAAGAAATCAAAGAAATGTGCACATATAAAATCAAATTTTCTTAACCTATTTTAATGGGATAAATACTTAATTCTTAGTTTTCTGTAAAGCAGACTTGGGATATAAATTTAGCATCTTATCTAAATAAAAGTAAAATTTTAGCACTGTATTTGAGTATTTGTTGTCAATGTCTGAAAGCACTGAACCAGACAAAGTTGACTTGCATCCTTTTTATAGCTTTCCCTGTAATTATCCTCAAAAATTGCAAATTATTTTCAAGTGCCTCAGTGTCCCCATTTATAAAATAAGGATAATGGTTTTCATGAAGATATATAACAGAAAAGGACAATTAGAAACCTAGATATAGTGATATGTGTCTTGAGTGAATGTGATTTATACAGATGTAAAAGACGAAAACACATAATTATACTACCAGAAGTCACTAATATACTTGGGTTAAATTCTAGTTAGTCACTGGGCTTTCTGATTTAAGATCAGCAAGACCAGAACATTTATTTACATAATGTTATTTGACAAGTAAATTATCTAAACTGCTGATTAATGTATTTCTTTAAGATATAAATGCACATGTATTTATAAAATATATATGCTAGGACATAGCAAAAATTAGCAATAAAAGATAATTCTAAATAGAAGTATTGTGAAAGGGGGGAAAAAACATTAAAGAGAAATTTCATGCCTTAAAGTAAAATTGAACTTTTTTTCAAAGTACTTTAATATCTATATTGCTATCTGAGATATAGAAATTCAAAGCCTTTGATAAAAATGTAGATAAATAGATTACTTTTATACTGCTGAAGTGACTTATCATTTCAACAATGCTTGAAATTTCTTTATAGATTTCCACCTCAAATTGCTTGAGTTTTGTCTTATAAAAGATGTTCCTTTTATCTACATTATTTTTATCTTCTCACTGAATTGACCCCCCCATCTTATAATCACCTGAAGTACATTGTTTGATATCATCATTAGACAACTCCAGAAATGTAAAAAGGTGTGATTATTACAGTATTTGAAAGGCTTATTATAGCCACTAGAATGATTTTTACTTATCTAAAAAGTAAGTAAGTAAAAAATAGGAAAATGTATTTAAAAAAAAAAATAAAAATAATGTATTATGATCTTGGAGCAAAATTAGAGGCTGCATATTTTGGTAGTTGATTTATTATTGCTACATGGCAGCTATACTAATTGATGTTATAATCTTTTTTATTTGGAAGCCACCTGGCAATCACTGTCTCTCTCTCTTCTTGAGCTTACTGTTCAGTGCTGTGCATAGCAAATGACACAGCATCTTGAGATGCACTTAGCAATAACTAAAAAGGATAACTGGAAGTTAAGGTAAAAGATAATGCATATCTGAGGCTCAAACCTGACAAACACAAAGATCAAGTGGAAATTAGGCACTTGGCCTCTCTGGCATCAGTGGGATATAGGTACCTGAACACATTTGAGGACCTGGCTTTGCATTTTAGGGCATTACTTTCTTGTTCAGAGATATGATCCCACATCCTGTGGGGCTCTTCCTGCTTCTGGAAGAAATAAAGTGGGAAAGATGTTAGTTTTCCTTATTGTTTTGAATATTTTTGTCTCTTTTAGAGTGTTTTACATTGATTGCATGGTATAATTGCTTGTATAAAATGCTTTTGATAGAAGTATTTAAAATATATCTCCAGACAGATTTTATCTTTCCAATACATTATAATTCTTCCAGAAGACAGCAAACAGGAGTGCTGGGAGAAGCTTTCAAACACATTATAAAAGATCCCAGTAATGACAGTTCTTTCAAAACATACTTTTTCTTTAAAATCCTCCTTAGAGTTTGTGTAGAATATTACATTCAGAATCACTCTCCACCTACAAAAACCCCCAAGCACCATCATGCCATGAGAGAGAGTACAATAAAATGTATATTTCCATAAAAATCAAAACAAACAAATAATACATTTTAACACTTGATAAAAAAAAAAAACCCCAAAAAAATCTCCTTTACTTCCAAACCTTTATCAAGGTGTAGTGGTTTAGGTTCTGCTGATTTAAGGTTCCTGGCCAATGCACCAAATAATGTGGTGGGTTTAATGGTGGCTAAAATCACCAGTGTACTTGCTCATTTCTTGATGTGAGATATAGATTAGGAGGAGGGCAAAGTTTTCCTCCCTCCACCCAACTTCTTTTCTTTCCCAACTGATGATGTAGAGATAAAACCTGGGATTTAAAATCAGTTACCAAATCTACAATAGTCTTTCATCAATTCTTGTAGGGAGAGGAACTTTCTCTTGTCATGCCATGGAGACTTCTCCACAAGAAGCTGTTCTCTCATGGCTTTTCATTTCCACGAATAGCAGCTGCCCAGGAAAAGACCTGTAAAAGTGAAGTTCCTCCCATTTTCACAGCCTTCCCACAGCTGGATAAATGGGCCATGTCAACTTATGGGGTGCTATTTTAAGGATGAGCTGCTTAAAAGCAAAGGTTCTCTTTATCTATATCTGCAATCATCTTCATCTCTGGGAACAGAGATCTTCTTATCTCCCTGGGGGCAAAGGGTCTTCATCACTCTCATCTCCCTCTCTCTCTGTTCAAGTTTCTCATGAGATCAGAATTACTTCAACATCTACTTTATTTCATCAGTAGATGCCTCTGCTCACATCTACAGTTTGAACGCTCCATCCCCCCATACTTTCTCATGAATTAAAGGGAATATTTTAGTGTATCATAGTCCATCTCCATGGCTATACTGAAAGAACTTTCAGCCTCAATACTAGGGCATCTCCTCATTCTCCTTCCATCTGGGACTTGATTCCTCTTTACTGACCTCAGTGTCTTCATGCTGTCTCCAAAGTGTCCTCATTCTATCTTTTTCTCTCACCTGAGGGGAGAATCGTGGTCTGCAGGTCTCATCTGTGCACCAAAAGGGTTAATATCTCGCCCAGGCCTGCAGATGTTCGTGGTGGTTTCTGCTGAGCAGTTGCCAATGGATTTTGGGCCTGGCCTGGCCTGGAGCTGCTCCCAGGGGCCAGCAGACCCCAGCTTGGGCCAACAGCAGGGACTGGGCTTAGTGTCAGCGAGATGTTAGTGCTGTGAACTTGCCCAGCTTCAGCCAGGGCCCCGTGGCCTCCTGTCCCCTGCCTGGCCACCACTGGGGTCCGGCCTGGCCCTGCCAGCTGTGGTGGAGCAGGGCTGGTCCCACCAGAGCTGTTACCTTTCAAGGCCAGAAGCAAGAGAGAGGTTCCCCGGGCTTGTCTGTTTTTAAAATGTGGAATTCACAGAAGCAGACCTAGCTTCTAAATGGTTTAATAGGATGCCAATTCTCAGAGCTAGCCAGCTATTGGTTTTTTCCAGGCACAGAGGAAGCTCTTAGCAGCTTCGCTCAGGAAAATCATTTCTGTGGGTGGTTTCTTTTCTCTTTACTAAATATCAATCAATGCAAAACCAGCACATGAGGCAAGATATTCACATGGTTATTATAATTTCCTTCTAGAAATATGGATAAAATATTTTTAGAAATTTTATTCACATTGCTGTTCTTCCAAGCACAATAAGGGGAAAAAACCCTTCAATTACTATTCACAATATTAGCAAAATTTATATTTATGGAAAATGCATGGGCACAATCTAGATCTGAATATGACATCCTGTCACAATATACCACTTCCCTCAAAAATGCTTTTGTTGACAGTTTTGCTTGCTTTCTGGATTCATCTTTTCCCTTCATAATCTCAGAAAAATCCCCACTGAAAAAGAACTCTATAAAACCTTCTGAAAAATTAGTAAAATGCTCTGAGATGATCCAACTGCTTTAAAGCTGAAGATATACTAACATTTATATAATCAGCTTTCTGAGAGGAAACTTCAAAGCTTCCGAGCTACCTGCAAAACAACACTGCCTGTAGCAGCAGGGTGAGGAGAAGGAGAGAGGATTGACAGGAAGAAGGGCAGATGGTAGGTGGGAAAAAGAATTACAGGCTTTTGCTGCCTTGTGGCTAAACTTAGCAGTAGTTGCTATTTTTAAGAGAATTAGGAGAAAGAAATGGATGCTGCTGTTGTTATCACTGTCCGTAACTATCTAATAAGAATGATGTGCTCTGATCTGCTTGTGGATCTTGATGAAAAAGGTGCAAGAAAATATATTCCATCCCATGCTCCATTTTCAGTCCCCATTTCAGTACAGCCAAGTCTTCTACCCTGTGTAAGGGAAGAGTTTTATCCCAGAGAGCACTATCTCTTATCCCCTGTGAAAAAAGTAAGAATTTGTCTCCCTTCTGTGTAGCACCTGCTACACCTCGGTGTAAAGATTGTATTGTCTTGGAAAACAAGCACTGCCTGGTGGGGAGGAGAGGCACTGACACCCCTGAGCTCCCTGGGAAGAAGGCTGTTCTGCCTTTCCTCTGCCTGGATCTCTGCCTTAGGGATACATTTTCCCTTTGTAAGTGAGCTGAGTTGGTGTTGAGGCAGACTTTGTTTCAGAGGTTTACCACCAAAAACATAATCATCAAGAGCACATTGTTGAACAACATGTGTGCAAACCCATCTCTTTTATCTTTTATATTGCTTGTATTTGCAGCTGGTGCTTACACAAAGAAACAGGCAGAAAATAACAAGAATAGCCTTTGGTGACTTGTACACTGGGGTATGTACTCCTAGGGTGGGCTTTACAGAGCAGTGCTCATTAACACAGCTCAAGAAATTTAAAAATGGTAATATGCTCGTTTTGTTTATTTATAATTGGTTTTAACCTAGACACCTCTTTTTTTTTTTTTTTTTTTTTTTTTTTTTTCCTTTCCTTTTTCTTCCTTCTCATGGTAAAACAAAGTCTATGTTTTGGGTGGGCTGTAGATTTCCAAGCCATTTCCTCAGCTGATGTAGTAGTTAAAGCCCATGTACATGAAATCAGTGGGGCTAAGCCAATTTGCACCAGCTGTGAAGCCAAGCCTCCATGTATTTCTATTCACAGGAATGAATGCCTGGTGCAGTTCTCATTGGTGATTGAATACATCAGGTTCCAAAACACTGGCTTCTCATTAATCACAGCAGAGATAATTATTACTCTAGGCTTGATTCAGTCTCTCTTAAATAATTTCTAAATTGTAATTTGGTCAGGTCTAGGCAGTTAACAGTGAGTCTATATAGATAAATCGAGTCGAATATACATATTTTGCTCAGCACACTGGGCATCCACCTATGGTCATATGTGCTGTGTCCTGTGTCATGTTTGGGTAGTGTGGTAGCCTCCCTTGCAGCAAGGTTGTACAAAGCACAGCTACTGTGCAGGCCAGGCACACAGTAGGGACAGAATAAAGAAACAACTATTTGCATTTGTCCACTAGTGTTTCAGATAAGGTTCTAGTAAGTGCCCATTTACAAACATCACTTAGTTCATGAACACACCTAAAACTCTCACACTGTTGGTGATCAAAAAGAAACACCTACCTTATCCTTCAGATCTTTTTGACTGAGGCCATGCGAATTCTCACCACAGGGTTCTAGCAAGACTATGCTCCTGCCCAATGTTTAGGTGTCTTAGCAAACACTAAGGGGTCCAAGAAACTCCCTAAGTCCTATTACTTAGAAGATGCAAAGCATATTTAGAAACTTGCTTGTCTGGACACTCCTGCAGTACACTAGTGACTTCTGATTTTTGATGCCCTTGTCTTAGTGCTAGGCCACACAGCTACTTTGAAAATGAAGTTACAAACAACATCATAACCCATGGGTATGAGTGTAGGACAGCATATCCTATTTAAACAGGGTTCACAGACAACCAGGAGTGCAAGACATGAAATGTTAGGAATAGATTAAAGAACAGAAAAGCTGTCTGATCTGATTTTCTTTTGTTGATATTAATGCAGATATTATTGCAATCATGAGATCATCCTTGAAGAACTAATCAAATGTGCAACAATTCAACAAAATTGAATGCAACAACCTTGTGCTCAAGAAAAGTCTGCTCCCTGCCTCAGCAGCTTCCTTTATTTCTTAAAGACACAGAGAATTTCTAGAATAATTTTTTAGAATAAAATTTGGTTTATAAGCCTGTGCTATTTTCATGCTCTATGGGCTACCTTGTGTTGATGGTGGCATATCTGAACTGTGAATTCAACAAAATTATTGAAGCACTGGATTTGAGAAGCTTTGTGCTGATCTACATAATGTTCCACAACTACAGCCATTTTCATGACTACCTAATCTGTGTTGATGTTGTCTAGTTGCTTCATGTTAAGCTTGGAGGGTGGGGGAAAGATGTCTAAGCACTGGATAAAAAGCTGTGCAGTTGAAATTGCTGCTCCTGAGACAAGAGATTCAAATTTCTCTGTTAGTAAGAATATTTATTTCACCCATTTGCTTTTTTTAAAAAAAAACCAAGGAAAAAGAAAGATGTAAGCTTTAAAACTCTGCAGTTTTATTTGGATTCTAAGAAGAATACAGAAAGGAAATTTAAGGATTAAGGGAAAAATATAAATGAGAATGAATATTTAAAGCCAGCTTTGAGGCTGAGAGGCTCTACCAGAATTATCAGGTGTGCTTGCAAAGGAAGTATTAGCATATACATTGCAAAGCAGTGGAAGTGTAATTGTAATGACAGTTATGAGCCCATAAGAAATGTACAGAGAAAGATAGGACTATGGGGGGAAATTCAATTTTAGCACAGTACAGCCTGGTCCGTTCCATCCCTAATAGTCAGTGTTTTTTCAGCTAGTGCATTTGTATTATGGCTTTTCTGATTCTTCAGTCTGCTTTCAGCCTCTGCAAAAATTATGATGGCTGTGGGGCTGATATAACTTGCACCAGCTGTCAATAGGATGCTGAAGAATCTGTCAGAGGAAGCACAGCCAGGGTGCATTGTGTCCTGACTGCTCCTGCCCTGTCTCTTATGTGCTTCTGAAATCCTTCAAGGCAGGCAAGGAAAAGGCTTGCTGGGAAAGCCATGTGATGAGCAGCTGCCATTTTGCCTTGAGCAGAGAGAGGTTACCTAAGGAGGTGTCTGTACATTCTTGCTTACACTTGTTAAAGGCAGTAGGTCTGGGGGCAGAAGCAATTTGGTCACTGGCACTGCAATACCTGAAGGCAAATGTGAATACATTTAATGTGAAAAGCGCTTGTGTGAGAACATTCTGAAAGCAAAACTCAAGACATACTGATGAAAAAGAAAGGCAAGAACACAGAACAAAAGGACTATAATCTCCTGAGAGACTTATATTTAGTCCCAAGTGACTGAAGAAGACATTTTATTTCCCTACTCAAGCTGCTTTAGCATCAGATTCCTATCCAAAATTTGTCTACAGTGGGAGCCCTGACAAGGTCCTTCTTGGACATTACTTCAGGCATACCCCAAGAGTGGAAGCCCTAGGCAGAAAGGCAGAATATAGAGCCAGCTAGTAGCTCTGAGGAGCAGGTAGGCATCAAGATGTTAGTCTGTTCCACAGTGGAAAATATAAGAGCAAAAATTGAAGTGCATCTTGCAGCTAAACCATCCAAACAGCTTGGCAGTCTGTTTCATGGATCATTTGGTCAGCAAGGCACTGTTGATCTGTGGTGAGACTTCAAAGTCCAACTCTCTTTGTAGATCTAGACTAGACCTTAGTATATAGGTTGTGAAAAACTGGCAGCAAGGTGGAAGGATTAAATGGCATGCTATAATCTTTCTGCCACCTACCTTTATCTGCTTGTATTTCTTCATTATTTGCATTTTTACCTAGTGATTGCTCTCATTCCCTCCTCATCTTCCCTTTTCCCCTAGTTGCACTTTTCCTTACCCCAGTTGCTCTGTTCCATATGCACAACTTGGCTGGAAGCAAAACTAATAAGATTTTCAATCTACAAAGCCCAGATGGCACTTTCCGTGCTTCAGAGGCTGTCAATCTTGTTCGTCTCACTTCCTGGTCATTAGCAGAGGGAAGGGAGGAATGGGAGGAGCACAAGTCTCCTGCTAGGCTAGGAGAGGAAAATATTCCCTATCAGCATTGCTGGGGTGTGAAGGTAGATGCAGAATGGGAACAAGAATAGAGAAGCAAGATTGTTTCACAGTGCAGGAATCTGATCTAGCAATGATGTGAAAAAATACAAAATGGTATAAAAAGAAAGCAACTAAATAGAGAGTAAAATATATTTTAAGGAAATAAACAATGCAAATAAAGATGATATGAAGAATGTGTGGAGAAGCAAGATCCAGGTG